TTCGATGAAGCAACACTTGGCAACTCTTGACATTGTTCTCGAGATGGTTTGAAAACGTTAAATCGAGGTACAGCACATTCGATAGGACAGTCCTAGCCATGTGCCGTACTGCACGGCACTTTCACTACTCCAGACAAGGCTGATAATCCATTCCATTTATCGACCATAAGCCTTTCAGTGTTTCTCCAAAATCGACTTCGAACTGGATTCGTTGTATATTGTCGTAGAAACCAACATTTCTTAATTCTCTCGGATTTAAAAATCACACTGATACTAAGCACGAGTTGTCTTCGAAAACTCTAAAATAGTAGTCACATTGGCATTTAAACATGTAATCTTTGGAGCCAAACATATGAATGCTAGAAAGATTCACATTCAATATGTAATGATTCTAGCAGGTCAAAAATGGTGAACGTTTGACGGCGAAATCGGAGTGACACGGCTCGGCTATCCAGAACTAACCACTAAGTAGTGTATCTCTTTTCGAATGAAATATATTATTATATCCCCAGTCCAGGTGTGTTATATGAGGCATGCCGATTCACAGGCAAGATCAAATTGTTGAAAATAATACGATATCCACTATAGTAAATTACTCATCTGGGTTGATAATTTATAAGGTATGAATTTAGATGTTTTAGTCAGTATCACATTTGGTGCGCTTCATTAAAGTTGCGTTACAACAGGCAACCTATGGTCAAGAATATATCCATCGAAAGTGGGAACTTCTAGAAATTGCAAGTTATATCGCTTTGGAATATTTGAGGCTTTGAGTATTGTGTAGGGTGAAGTCACTCGTTTTATATCTCAAGGGGTCTGAAAAAAGGAGCAAGTGAAAAAAATAGTGAGAGGCAGAGCAGCCAATGTTCATGAAAGGATATTTAAGGTAACGTCTACGGAAGATTTTATGGATGAGGTAGTCACACAACTATTAATCCAAGATTTTGAAATTCGATTTATGATTATAATGGCAAGGATAAGTGTCCTAATGTCTGTGATTCCTGGAAACAAGTGAAGATCCTTTGGGAAACCTCATTGCATGACACATCTGTGGGCAGGAATCAGTCGTACAGAGTCATTATCAACCCGACGTTTTCAATGCGTCGCTCAGGCGTTTTGATCCAGGTGTTTTAGATACCATTAGGTTCAGCGTAGAACGACAGGGATATGATGAAGTGTCCAGTTTTTAGTGTAATCTCTTGGATAATAAAGTGGTTCTAATTACATTTTTTCTTAGAAAACAATATGCCACATGAAGCACGTCAGTTTACAGGCATGAACGAATTGGTACAAATGCTACCGGATTCGCATCAATAAGTTACTCAGTTAGGCTGATATGTTATGAGGCACTTCGCTTATATAAGCAGATGACAAATTTTCAAATATTACAATATAGATGTTAGTAACACTTCAATGTCCAATACTAGAGCTATCGCGTTTTCTCAAGGTCGCGTCGTGACAAGCAATTGGTGTTACAGAATGAATAAAATTAAGGTTGAGAGTAGTTGTTCGGTGACGACTTATTATTTAATGCTTTTTGATAATGATCCCATGTAAATTCTGGGTGTAACGGTGTAGGACGAACTCATATGTTCAACATATACTGATGGTGGTATACCACGAGAATGCTAATAAAGAGGTGAAAAGTGAAGGGTGAGAAGTAGGACAGACAGGGTCCCTAAATGCAACGGTGGTTCCCAAAACTTTGTAGGTGATCGGATTCTCGTTAACAAAGTTGTAAAGGGTCAAGCGTTACCGTTTACGAAGCTAAATGTCCCAAGAATTGTACGGAAATCGACTGATGATTCGGCCGAACAGTCTATTTCCAAGAATATCCTTCTGGTCATCAAAGAGCCGAGGAATCGGGAACACGATTCGACCTCCAAACAACAAGGTCCTTAACCTAAACGCACCAGAAAACCTGGGAAGACAATAACGGTCGTGATGATTCTCTCATAAACATGAACCTTAAAGACATCCCTAATCTTTCCCTCAGTTTGCAGAACAAAAAGGACAGAATGCACTGGGTAGAGTTAAACAAGAAGCTTGAACATTACAGAATAGGGCCTTTGACGGTCACGCGGCTCATTTGGGGAAAAATCATCCGATGCTACTTCGTGTAACACTCACTAATGCTACCGACGTAGAGGATACCTTACTAGCTAGCCACTTACTGAAATCTGATGGAAACGTATGAATACTGCCCGGCATACCGTATCCTGAGCACAGCCTCATCCATAAAGAATCTCGCGAGAAGTTTGTCCGCGAAAGTAATATCATTTTGTAAGGTGTACCCGTCAACACAAACTCTGATATTAGGGAATAGAAAATCATCAAGCAATCCTTGATGTTTGAAAACATACTGACTCAACAAGTGACAGGATTGCCCAAGGAGGACGGAGAATGTAAACCGCGGCTAATGAAGATAACATCTTGTCCTACATATGGCAGCTGAAAATCTGGAAACATTTCGTGCCAACAGACGTCGGTTGCCAACTGAAATTCATATGCACGTAAGCTGTAACAAAACCACATGACGCCAGGATCAAGCACAAAGGCAAGTTGAAGCTAACCATTGCACTTGTGGACTTTCTCGATCATAAAAAAGCGTGTAAAACACAGGAGCTATCAACTCGGAAAACCTTGTATAGATAGGCTAACTGTCCATTCACATAAGGCTCATACAGACAAACAAGAAGGAGAATTGAAAGCATAAACTGCTTATACACGAACTCCTCGAGTCTTCCAACTAAAATGGATCAGCTAGATGATCTTAGCCATGCTAATAATGCTCATCTGATAAGAATATCTGAAACTTGGATATCTTCTCAGTTTACAGACCAGGAGCTAGCAATACCCGGAATATCTTTGTTTCGCAATGACAGAAAAACAGGAATCAGGGCTGGAGTAGCACTTTACCTACGATCCTAACTGGAGACACATCAAGTGCACAATCAAGAATTTATCAAACTTAATGAATCCGTATGGTGCTCAGTAAGATTGTCTACCACCTAGAAGTCATATACAGCAAGCTCGCTGCTAACACTCAGTACGACAATCGTGTGCTGGAAGGATTCTGGAATCTGCAAGCAACCTCCGAACATCAAGAACCTCACTCTTTTTTGCTAAGCCGCCGAAGACATCATTGGGCAAAATACAAACGAACTAATAACAACGGCGCGTACAGGCAATGCAAACATATAAGGAACATATGCACAAAGACAATAAGAGAAAACAGTCTTTAGTACCAGATAAAGCTTATGAATAAATTTTTCTTCAATCCAAAAAGCTTATTCCGTTATGCAGTCTCTTTTCGACAAGCAAAGACTGGAGTTTCTCAACTACTGGGTTATAATGACCCGATCAATAACGATGGTGACGTCACGAAACTTTTAGCTGAATAATACTTCCGGACATTTCAACCGACCCACATCAGCTTTACTGATGAATGCTTCATCTGCAACGACCTGGATACGGTTTATTCCGCTATACTGAGGGAGGTAGCTTTCATTCAATCAACGCCGCTTAAAGTGATGTTCTCACGCATTCTAAGCTGAGGAAAGCTGCTGGAAATTTGAAAGCTGGTCTACTTCACACCAATTTCTAAAGGTGGTCGACGCAGCGAACCTTGAAGCTACCGACCAATGGTCCCTCTCTCTAAAGCTGCAAAAGTTATGGAGTCCCTGATATGCTATGGTATACACGACTATTTATAATCCCTAAAAATTTTTTACACCCAACAACATGGTATCAGCAATGGTTATTCTTGTATAACCAGCCTGGAGAAGGTTCACGTTATTTACCTTGACTTATCAAAAGCTATTGATACTGACAAACATGTATATCTTAACAATAAGCTAAAATGATTGGGTATCAAATCAATTTCAGTTGACTAGCTCATTTCATATATAAAAAATCGACATTCTGAGGTCAGGGTTAACTTCAATTTTTCTCAGGCTATGGAATGTCCTAGTGGAATCCACTACGGTTCAGTACTAAGACCTCTACTTTTCTTAATTTCTGTGAACGATCTTCCACAACTGTTATCGCCTGACTTATTATTTTTGCTGATGATATGAAACTTAGGTGAGAGATGCGCAACCAAGTGGATATACTGGCACTTCAGGAGGGTCTGACTCGACTTCAAAGTTGGGTAGATGACAACAGACTTACCTCTAACACTTCAAGGTGTGAAGTAGTTCATTTGTGACATGTTACAGACTACAGTCATGACTTGGGGAAACTCCTTTCTAGAAGTGTCCCAAGTTGGTAAGGATTTAGGAGTGCTAGTACCCTACTATTCGAAGTCTTACGTAAACGGTGAAAAATGCTTTTCCAGCAGACCTTGCACTGGTAACGTCGAGGCTCATTTCTGGCCAGTTTGACGTAAGAGCTTTCCACATAATTTTCAACAGTTTTATCCATCCCCATTTAGAGTACGGAAACAGTATTTCCTCCCTCACTCCAAAAGGATAAGGACACTCCAGAACATATCCAACGGCAAGCCACGAAATCAGTTCGGTGATTCAAATTCAAGACTAATGCACAGCGTTCCTATTTACTGAACCTTTGCCTAATAGAAAACAGGCGTCTTAGCGATGACCTTCTGATGGCTTACAGTATCCTTAACACTTCTGGACATCCTCCTAAACATCTACTTAAGCTTAGCTCTAACACAAACTTAACACCGAGAAACTGGAGACGCAGTTTCTTCTCCTTAAGATTTGTTGAGTGCTAGAGTTTGCTTCCGGCTGAATTAGTCCAAGCGACTTCTCAAGAGTCTTTTAAGAGGAAACTCCATTCATACTTACTATGATTTACCGATTTTTTCGTCTATTATCGTTAATATACCTGTATTCCCACCTGAAGGTATTGATGATCCAGTGCTACTAGACACGCAAACCAGTTAAGCGAAAGCTTCTCTTCCGTCCATAACTATTTGAACGATTTGAAACGCCATAAAATTTGACCTTGAAAAGGTCGAACATATTCAAAAGTCACACATGAGTTCGTGGTCAGTTGGTATCAATCTAATGATTTATCTTTTCTTCTTATATCGTTTTGAATGCTTAAATAAATGATTTACTCAGCTACTGATACTTTCGTGGCTTCTTTTCAAAATAGTGTTGTTTCTGATATTCATATTTCAAATACTTATTGATCAGTAACGTTGTTTTTATTTTGGTCTTTGAGAAAACTGAAAAGTACAAAAAATGTGTGGTTTGCGCCAACACTTTTAATTGGCATGTCTAAAAAGGCCTTTTCTTCAAAATAAACCAAACACTAACCAGGTTTGTTCTTAATGAAGGTCTGTTTTTCAAACTGTTTGTTGTTGTCTTTCAAAAGTTCATACTTTGAGGTGATGAGAAGATAAAATGTCAAGTGTCTAGTACATGCTGTACACATTGTTTTGGCTCTATGAACACGCTAGTCCGAATTTTTCGCGGTAACCAGATTCTACCCTCTTCTGATCAAACTATAGTTAGATTCTGTTTAGTGAAGGAACTAGAACGAGGTTCGAAATATTTCATGTTGCGTTGTCGGTTGTGATATAAATGATCAAGAAAATATATTAATAAGTATATACTTACTGGGGCGAATCTTTAAATAGTTGAATGTACGGTAGTTATGATGCATCTGATATTTTTTAGGGCGCAAATGCTATACATAATATCTATGTTCAAAAGCTGAGAAATGTTTGACAAATACGCATCTACGACGGGCAGTATTCAAACAGCGTCCTTGTTTTAATCCAATTAAATTGAATGAAAAGATGTGCAAATCAAGCGACAATGCATGTGATCGTTTGCTATATCCCAAATGAAATTTATTATATAGTAAAAATGCTCGGATGTAATCACAGAATGCCTATCAAGTATTACTGGTTGAAAGATAAGAATTTTTGAGGCGCTCTTGGTTTAATATTGCTGATACAAAGCTCTCAGGACTTCACATTTTTAAGATGACTATAAATCTGATCATATGTTCTTATAAATTAAAAACAGTATTAGTTAATGTAATATGGAACATCTACCCTTTAATTGAATTAAAAGAAGGCGATATTTTTTAAATGGCCAAAGTCATAAAAATTCCGTAAACATCTAACTATTTATCTCAGTTAGTTATGTTTTCTCCAACTAAGACAGCCTGGACTATGTCTTGAATCAAGCTTTATTTTAAAAAATACAAGAGATTATCATGCATTGTTGGCATACATTCAAGATGCTACATGTGCAATAAAATTTTTCATATCTTTCATAATTAATAGTGATGCTTGTTTAGTGCTTTTCAAACATTAGTTTTGAAGTCATAATGCAGTGTTCACTTGTTATGTTGTTTGTATTTTAGAATTCCTCTTGTTAAACAAGTATTTTATTTCACGTTGATGGATACCATTTATCAGAATCTAAGAATACTAGTTCTGTCTTATTTCGTTGTTAGCAGAGAAGGGGTTTTGAAATCTTCATGTATCTGTTTCTTCTTGTAGGCATTTGGCCTGGCTCACTAATAACAACTGAAAGTAAATTGATTCTATGAGGACTGTTTCACATTCCATGATAAACTCAGGCAGCTGAAATTTTACAACATATACTAATCCGTAAACAACTACCTATTGTAACTCATTACAAAACCTAACTTGTTATACTTGCATATAGGTTTAATAAAAGTGTTCGTTTTGATCGCTCATGTAGTTGTTGCGAGTTTACACATGAACTTTACCAAAAGATAAATTTATGAACATGAGGAGAACTTGACTGATGATTGATTTTACTTCTTCACTATTCAATAAATTTGAACAATGAAACCATTAAGATGTTTTGGTAGATTCTGAAATGCGTGTTTACGTGTATAATGAGTGGCTTAAAGCATAATTCATCTATTGTTAAACTTCCTCAAATCATACACTTAAGGTTCCTGCACGTAGTTTGCTGACTGATTAGTTTCAGGACCGTTCCACTGACAGATTTTGACACATTTTTTGCATGATATTAGTTTTCAAAATACTTAATTGAAACCTTAAAGACAGGTTGAAACCAATTCAAGATTTACATCCACGGTATTCTGCAGGTTACCTCTAATCCCGTAGCCTCATAACGTAGATTTAGGCCACTTGAACTGGTGAGTAGCTTAGTCTGAAAAAATTGACTATCAATGGTTAGTAGCTCAACATGATATTAGTCACTCCCCACTGTTAAACCAATGTTATAATCCACACTGTTAGTCGAGATTAGAACACCGAGTAGCCGTTGTAGCATTTACCTTACTTAGAAAATTTATCATCAAGTGTACCATCAAAATGAATCTTTTAGCTGAACAGACAACATTTGTTCTGGTTCGTCTTGAAAGTTACCGTTAAGTTTGGTAACGGATCATTTTTAATCCAATTATATTAAAGATAATATGTGTAAAACCTTTATTGTTAGTTTTATGTTAAATCACATTATAATGTTTCCAATAAAAATATCAATAGCATTACATATTTGTAGGTAACTGCAATGATGTAAACTTTTAAATCCATTCCGAGTTTTGACTTGTAACTATGATGGTTCAGTATTTGTAAACTAAACCAACATTCATGCAACAATTATACAATATATTATATTATATGAAATAAATTTTATACTCAAGTTTTATAAAAATAAGAAAACAATATTAAATCGTTACCCTTTTATTGATCAAAATATTGTCATATGTGTATGTAGACACTAATATGAATATACATCCAATCAGACAAAGAAATATAATACATACAAGCATATACTGTAAAGAAATAAACAAATACCTCCAATTGGACTATGAAATCAAAACATATTGTTTCATTTTAACTGATTCATAGTTATCTTACGTTGAGTGTATATATGTTGAATCAAAAATTCTAGTTTCTATGAAATATGCACATTCATTTTATACATATTTGACAAGGTTATAAATAGAAATGGTAAATATTTAGTTTTCTATTCAATGACTATTTCATATAGTTTTATTGGTAAGAATTATTTCTCACTTATTTTTTTAAACTATTCAATTTCATTTTTTATTTCCATTATATAATTGTTAAGATATACAAACTAATATGTTTGTGAAAACAATAGCGATTTTAGGCTGATAATTTAAAATAGATGAATTGAAGCTTTATAGAGATTGTTTAAAAGAAAGTTAGTTGACAGTATAAAATTACTTCAAGTGAAGTAAAATCTTTGGACAAATTGTGGATTTTCACGGTTGAAAAGTCTTATACTATGATGAAATACATGTCAAGTACTTTGTGTTTTCACTGTTTGACTAGTTTAAGTCAGTTTATAATATAACTTTCCAATATGATGTAGTGTATTTTAAGTAATGAGTGAATATCTTTAAAACGGTTAACACAATGTGATGGGAAATATTTATTTGCATTTATCACATAGTGAAACTCGTATTTGTGAATCAAACATGTATAGGATATGTTCATGGTTTCGTTTACATTTAAACTGTTTTATAGGTGACTATTTGTAACACAAGCTAGATTTATCTAGATATGCTTTGAGATTTTCTGATACTCTGAACCAGTGTTTCACGTTTGTGTTTGAGATAACTAAATTCCTGTAGGACTAAAATGTACATGTCATGTATATAGTTCCCTTTATTATCTTAAAGAGAGAAAGAACGAAGATTGATGCTCTCTTTAAAATGCATACAATTTTTAACTGTCAAAAAGTGTTTAACCTTATGTTTGTCTACTTCTTGGTGCTGACAAATAAACCGGTTTAATTGCTTAGTAGAGTTCGATTATCTCTAATAGTTCAAAAGAATTTAACACTGAGTAAAACTCAATTATCCCTCGCTCCAAGTAAAAGAAATACTGGTCATTTTCTGAATATTGAAAAAAAAACGTTTCCTCATGGTAGAGTTCATTATCTTTGGTTTATTTCATTTCAGATTTAATGATGCAATCTGTTCAATAAAATACAAACACTTAACTATATATATATTTCATATGTATTCAATAATATGCATATAACAATGGATGAATCTAATAAGGAATTAATTAATAATGTACCACATTCACGGATAAAAACACGTCCATCTGGAAAATGTACATTAGCTAGGAAACGTTTAAAACAAGTGTTTAATATGAGAAAATATTATTTATCAGTTATTGGATTGACAGGTTTTGAAGCATTATTAGTATTATGTCGAGTGATATTGGAAACAGAATCATTACGTTTACCTGTAAGTATGTAATATTTGTAGAATAGATAACAATATACAGTTTTTGCAATGATTGTAATCTCTTATCGTACAGTTTAGAATAATGTTTTTACCATATAATGAACACATAAATCCAACATAGGTCTGGTCACATCCATTTATAAATATCAACATGCAGAAGATTTAAACCCTCAGCGATCACGATGAGATCACATTGAAGAAAGAATGTCGTATTGAAATGACCCAATGATATTCATTAATAAGATGATTCATCGACAGTAAATCCTAGCACCCGTGATTAATTCTACAACTAATCAGCTATTTGATTACTCACTGCACTTTTTCCTAATTTCTCAATGATTATTCAGTTTTAATGATATTTTCATATGTTCCGTGTCTAAATTACTAACGAAAATAGGTTAATACTACATCTTGGTTATCTGAGAGGTTTCTGATTGGAAATCTATAAGTTTATAAAGTTTTAATACTAAACCGATTCTATCTGAGCAACCATTGGATATCAGAGATCACTTTTATACCTGGAAGCACTGGACAGCCGTTTCGTTCTATAGTGGGACTCCTCAACAATGTACATTCACGATCCCGCCTCGCAAGATTCGAGCCTAGAACCTATTGGTTTCGCGCACGAACGATTAATCTTTAGATCACTGAGTCAGCATCCAATGGTGTTAACTAAGCTGGTTAATATATATCAATGATTTGCTAATGCTATAAAGAAACGTGAACGAGGACACAAATGGTGACAATCAAATATATTTGAATACATAATTACAGAACATCTTAGTAAAAATTAAGAACCGTACAGTAATACCTTTATTTACAAAATATCAATCACTTGTCTTAGACTTCACTGTTCTTTTGATTTCACATTAATCATTCCTTGTCCTCGTTCTCTTTTTGTTTTTTGATCTTCTTAATCTTCTGCCTTCAGACATTTCACTTTCGATTGGTGATACACACTACTTATATCTATCGACATCAGTAGCACACACCCATACACCACAATATTACAGATTAGTATAGTCGTGATATGTAACGGTTGATCAATTACATATTAACTATGGGATAATTCGATAGTTATTTGAGTTAACTTTTAACTCTATATACATAGTATAAAAGATTATAAGAATGTAGAGTACTAACGATAAGGCGTGCTAGACATGAGTAATTCTTCGTTCTTATAAAATTTATAGTAAATTCGATACTACATAGATTAATGTATGATTTAGTTTGTGAGTAATTGTTTATGTTGTTCAATTACTACTTAATGATCATTGTCTTACTTTATGTGTTTTTCTTTTTCTTCAGCCCGGAAATACTCAACGATTAATTTTAGAAGGTCAATTAGCTTTAGAATGTTTAAGTTTATTTACATTGACATTATTCGTTGTGGAAGTTCCATTTAAAATATGGGCTATGGGAATTCGTCAATGGGGTCGTCAATTATTATTTATTATAGATGGTCTTATATGTGCAGTTTGTTTTTCATTAGATATATATAATATTTATCGACATTCTAGTCGACCATCAAGAGTGATTACATCATCAAAAGTTTTAGAATTATGTAATTATTTACATATTACTTCACAAGCAGATACAGCTTCAACATTTGCTGAAATCTTTGGTCTTATGATTGTTTATAGATTATGGTATATTAAAAGATTTATAAAAAGTAAGTATTCAGTTTGTATTTGTTTTCATTATATTTATTGTGAATTATTAGTATTCTTCTGATTTATCTACATTATGACCGCTATCAATAAGATGTGCTAAGATAGAACTGAGTATTGTTTTTATCTAGCTCTTCATAGACCAGACTAGTAGATGTTCACTCATTCGTTGGTTAAGTTGCCTGATAGTATGCCCAATATAGCTATCTCCACAGGAGCAGTTGAATTTGTAATTGCACATTGAGGAGGCTAACCCAGGTAACTTATCCTTTGTTTGAGTAGACATCGCTGGTCGACTCAAGAAGGTGAACGCAAGATTGACTGTGTAGAATGTCCTGCTAATTACTTTCGTTAACCTATCATTCAGAGTATCACTGGCCATATCCCCTGTTGAATTGTACTTGTTTTTTTTTTTGAACTTTTTGAAATGGATAAGTGTTTTCTCAATCAAACTGTTTTAATTCACTATGTAACTTAACTTCCCAGAAATTGGTGTAATCCTATATCAATCTTTCATTCTATATAATGATTAGAACAGTAATAACGTGAGTTATAAAGATGACTTTAGAAAAACAATGAATTTAGTTTATTTTAAGTTTTAGGTTATTTGAATTCTAGCTGATATTAATATCAGAGATGCTTGTTTTGTCTAATTTGGGACTAACTAGCTAGATGTGCTTTCATCCAAATGTTGTTATTTATACGAAAAAACGAATCCAATACTTATCGTTTAGATTTTCAGCAGCAAGACAACACGTTGACGTTTGGAGCAATAAGTAATATCTAGGTAAAGACACTATCACCAGATATCAGGTATATCCAGATAAGAAGTCTAGTATGAATCGAATTATCTGCTCTCCTGAGTGTTTCATATTTTTCATTATCTTACATTTTTTGGAAAATTTACTATTTAAATAATCAACATGTTTTATTATACAACAAATACTACTTATATGTGATCATTGATTTGATCAGTCCAAACAAACAAACAAGAGAAAGAAACATAATATTCCATAAGAATATAATCTTCTATATACGACTAGTTATCCAATAGGCATCATTGAAAATACTTTATAATTTTACATATTAGAGGGGGTTTTGTGGAGATTATAGTCATTTTCATAGTTGACATCGTGAGTCAATTAAAACTCGAGCACCATGAAAAACTTGGAAGTACTGGCTGGCAGTTTCATCCTATTGTGCGACTCCTCAATAAATCACATCCACGATCCCGCCTTGCGAGATTCAAACCCAGGACGTGTGAGAGCTTAACCACTAGACCACTGAGCCGGCATTCAACAGCGTTAATGTCTAACTTCAATTAATTCACGAAATTGAGCGGAACATCAATTATTGTCTTCAATGAGTTACTATTTCACGACAGATCCGGTTGAACTCCTTTGGTCACTTTTTCTCACTAGAACTCCAGGAAATACCTCTTGAACTTAATTCTTATAATATTTTTGTTTAGAATTATTGAAAATAATTTATAGAATATTAGTAAGATTCATTTTAGATCTTGTTTAAAAATTAAGATTAAAGTCGATGCTGAATTGAAATGATGATTGAAATTTCGTATCATTACTTAAATAAAGATTACACTTAATTACTTACTTATGCTTGTTAACCCTCATGGAGAAGCATAGGCTGATCACCAGCACTCGCCATCCAACTTTGTCATGGAAAATCCTTTCCAGTTGTTTCCAGTTGCTATTCATCCTTTTCATGTCTGTTTCCAATTCCCGACTCAGTGTGTTCTTTGGCCTTCCTCTTTTCCGCTTCCCTTCAGGATTCCAAGCTAGCGCTTGCCTTGTGATACAGTTCCATGATTTTCGTAATGTGTGTCCTATCCACTTCAAAAATCTTAATCATAATCAAAGTCATTATTTGAAAATCAAGCAGTTGCTACGTTGCATAATATATAAAAGAAAGAGAAGACAGAATACTTTTTTATTTTGAGATCATGAACCGATTGATGTTAGACCACCATTGAAAACCTGGAAGCACTGGACGGCCGTTTCGTCCTATTGTGGGACTTCTCAACAGTGTTCATCCACAATCCCGGTCGCGGAATTCAAACTCAGGGCCTTCAGTCTCACGCGTGAACGCTTAACTTCTAAACCACTGAGTCAGCATTCAACAGTGTTGATGTCTAACCTCAACCAATGCACGAAGTTTAACGACCATCTTCTATTGTACTGAGGTCGACACCTGTTTCTACCAGACACAGAATAATATAGTAGTTATGTAGGAATGAAGAAATGAATGTTGAGAATAAGTAAAATACAAAAAATACAAAAAAACATGGAAGAAATACGAGAATAGTTTATCATAGTTCTGCTACAAACTTCCCTATTATACTGATCACCAAGTTAGCGAGAGTGATTGTAAAAACCTCGTTTAAATGCAAAGCTTAGGTTTGTTAACATGAATTGTAATAGCTTGAGAAATGTGCAAAAGACTCACTTATTTACTGCTTGTTTGTTTGTTTATTTGTTTGCTTTCTATGACAATCAACATTTTGAAATAGATGATACAATAAACATCAAATTTCTATTATGTCATAATGTTGTTCTACTCAACTATTTATAAATTGAAAATTAGTAGTAATGAATGAAAAATTCTTAATAAAATGAGGGTAGTAAGAAAAAAATAACAAATAAGTTATGTAGTAGAAGAATATGTAACTGAATGAATAATATACAGTTTTTAATTGATTGAATCATTGTCAACATTTAAGAATTGCTGATCTAGACCTTAGTTGAACTTGGATTGATTGATTCATCATAAAAGAATCATATAGATAGATAGATAGTTGACAAAATTCAGTTTTAATAAATATAGGATTGTAGAGATTATTAGGCTTGTGATTGAGATCATGAACTGATTAATGTTAGATCATCAATGAAAACCTGGAAGCACTGTACGACCGTTTCGTCCTATTGTCGTGAGACTCTTTAGCAGTGAGCATTTACGATCCGGCTCATGGTATTCAAATCCAGAGCCTTCAGTCTCGCGCGCAAACGTTTAACCTCTAGACCACTTAAAATATTGAAATACATTTCTGTTTAGTTCAGCTTTCAAGATTGATGAATGTAAGTCAGAGAAGATTGCACAATAAAACAAATTGCGACTACTATACACATGTTGTGAACTGATACTAATCAGATATATCTATGTATTTATAGTAACTGTCGATTCAGATCAAGTTTAACTATTATATAAATAATAATCATGAATAGAAAAAATATATATATAAAGATATGTTCAATTGATTGATCACTGCGTTGTAACCAACGCCACATTTCTTCAGTCTTGTGATATTAACTCACTTCTATTTATCAACTTGCTGGTTGACACTGGTTTGAATACCTCAGAGAGCAGCAGTGTTTTTGGGTTCGTAAATATGTTTTTTTGACAAGTACTAGCAAACACTGAATCTATGTCAAACAGTGTGACTAGTGGAGTCCGACCAGCTCTGTTGTGAGATAGTAACTCACTGAAGAAAATAGTGGGCGGTGGTTCGATTTCGTGGATTGGTTGAGGTTAGACATTAACACTGTTGGATGCCGACTCAGTGGTTTAGAGGTTAAGCGCGAGACCGAAGGCTCTGGGTTTGAAACCCGCGATCGGGATTGTGGATGCGCGCTTGTTGAGAAGTCCCATAATGGAACGAAACGGCCATCCAGCGCTTCCAGGTTTTCAATGGTGGTCTAGACTGACCTTGAGAGTATCTGTCTGATAACCGGGACCAAATGAGGGTTATAAACCTGTGTAGGTAATTAGAATTATATTTTACAGTTGATGATTAAGGTTAGAAATTATATTTAGGGTGTTCATCACGAACTGACATCAACTATGATGTCAAAACTTTATTTAGCCAAATGGATGAGTGAATTTCGCTCCAAACTCCGAGACCTGTTATCTTGTACGTGACTGGTTCCTCCAAAATTTTTTAGTTTCGCCTACTTCAAATTAAATGGCCTTTTTATTGTAAACATGCAAATTCATTGAATATTTAATTCAACAAAAGAATTTTCTCAAAGAATATATAAAAGTCTATAATTAATTTTGAATCTCACTCATCGACTACTGACTAGTTGAACAGTACTGTGTATGATATATTGCTTCCAGTAGTGAAAGCAATTCATAAGTTAGAGTGACGGGGAAAAACCAAATTTGTATCCATTTGTAAAATATGCTAGTTAATATAAATGAAATGACTCAAGTTCACTGTCTAACAACACCATTATCTTTATAACTAAATTTGCCGCCATGGCAACAACATCCGACATTCACCCGGCACCTGCCGAGCCATCTACATCCGATGTCCGCCCAGCAGCCACACGTCCCACCGCTCCTCTCCGTCGACAGCATCCATTACAGCCAACGCCGCTCCGCTAGAACACTCCACTTGACGCCACCTCTCTTCACCAGACTCCCCCAACTAGCACCTCGGCTCCAGGCCCGAGACGTCGTTCGCAGAACAGCACCCCTCCCCTCCTGGTTGCGAGCGACACTAAATGTAGTGAACAGAACACGTATGAGGACAATCGAATGTATTTAACAGAAAATTACAGGACTTGTTATTAAAATCTAACAATCAAAAAGTAAATACATAATTAGCAAAATGTCTATCAATTGTCTCAAAACAACTCAGACTTCATTGTTCTTGCATTTTCATACAAATTACATTCTGTTTCCATTATTTACTGTTCGATCCTATTTTCCCTCTACTGCCATACCTTCTGTTCACGACTAACATCATATACTACTTATGTCAATATAAGTAGCACACACCACACAAGTACTGGATAGTTACTTTTTTCCATTTCTGACCTTCTCAACTGTACAAACAAGGTCACATCACTTTTGACACAACAATCTCAATTTTCATAATGAATGCAATTTCATTCAGTAAATGAGTCAAAAATTATTTGATCATCATTCTTGAATTCACGCAGTCTTGTTCACTGTTGAAATATTTGTCGTTTATTCATAA